AAGGCATTGATGTGCTGTTCAGTTCTTTGTAACCAGCTTCTTCACTGGCTTCAAGATAAATACCTGTCACATCTTAATGTCGGAGGTCAGTTCTAAAAGGTAGAAAATCTTCTCATATGTCCTCCCTTAAATGCAACTAGAGTCAGGAACTGACAGGCAATGAGTGGGAGGGTGGGGGGAACAGGTGCTGAGAGCAGAGTTCAGGATCTCTGATGGGAGAAGGGTTTGAGCCGATCCGAAGGAGAGGGGTTGGTCTCATGTGAACAGAGCCTTCGTTATGGTCACATCTAGCAATGCTTGAACAGTAATGCCCACTTTGACCAGGCCTTTCTCTTCAAGAATATGATGGGGCAGACATAGTTTTTCCTAAAAGGAAGAACAAACATCAATTTTTAGAACATAAAACATACAGTCTTGCAACACCAATGATGATTGTTAAGTTGAGCTCTGTTATATGTCTGTCTGATCACCTCACACTGTGCTCCCTCCCTTGCTTTCAGCCCATTGCAAAGAGCTTTTCTGTGTTTGCAGAGAAAATAATGATTTTTTTACAAATGAGAGTTGTTCCAGAAAGGTGCTCAATCAACCTGAAATCTGCAATAGATATAAACATTTAAGGAACCTTTATGCTAAATAACTGAGCAACACACAGTCAGCTAGAAACCACATACCAAGAACATATCAGCTGATATTCTTATAAAGCAAAATTGCAAAACACCTTTCACACATTTTAAAGAAACTCAAATACTCATTTATAAAGGCCACACCCTGTTCTACTGACCATAAACTTTGGCTTAGTTCATTTTACTTCCTGTGATCTCTGGAATGGAGGCATGCTGGTGGACTGGTATCTTTTCTTTGTGATTTAGGAATAGCCTTGTAAAACGTCATTTTAACCGCAGCTTTCGACAGCCTCTCTTTAAGACTCTTTCATACAGCTGTCAAAGACATAAATGCCCTGCTACTTTCTCATGTTGTATTTTTTGCTCTTGGGAAATGTCTAGCACGTACAACACAGGGAAAATAATTAACGCAAGTCACTCTTTGTGTGTAGACCCTTGCATGCTCAACAAAGCAGTTTACAAAATAACACGATGAGGTATTTTTACACCTTTGTCACTGGGCCCTGGAAGTGAGGGGACTCTCCTTCCAGAGTGTGTCTCCTTGGCTTGGCAAAGACTCCACAGCAAACACTCCCTCTTGTCTACTCGATGATGGTGTGTTCTTCACAGTCCAATGACAGCCGTTTTTAAGGAAAATTTAAATGGGATCTGCATCATGCCCCAGGAGGTGGAGACTGTTTAACGTGAACAAGACAGGTCTCCAAACAGACTCCTTCCTCTTCACGTGACTCTTGCTTGAGAAACAAGATCTTCCTATTGCCTCAGCGCAGGACTCTCCATAAATTACTACAGACATGTGTACTCTGGTCTCAAAAAGATCTCCAAAGGACATGCCATGACACCTCCGATAACTTACTGTATACCTCACGTCAGTTTTCTTACGCTCTCTCAACCATCGCGCTACCTCCACTGCTAACTCCTTCCCTAACTTGTAGTAAATTCAGAGTATCTCAGACTTTAACTTTAGACCTTAAGAAAGAGCTACCTGCCAACATAAGACAACACATTTTTAACCATTATTTCATATGGCTGCTGTGCATTGAAATAGAATAAACTTGTCATCAACAGCATACTAGGTGGCCGAGGGATATGCCCGAGGGATACGCCCGAGGGATACGCCCAAGGGACTTTAAACAAGATATTTTGCTTCTCGACTTCAGTTTTTACTTATGTTCAGTCCCAAATGTTCTCGAATTCTAGTACTAATATTTCCACAAGGCCTATCTCTGCGTATAACACAGCTTTTATGGGGCTAGGTGTCCTGTCCTGCCTGATACGGGACAGGTCTGCATTAATAACTGCCCCGATCCTGCTAATGAGTGATGGCTCCAGTGGTCTGCAGAGGTTCCAAACTACAGGTCATGGTTGGGAAGGGCTGGGGGCTCCAGAGAGACAGGGTGGGAAGGTACTGAGGACTCAGCCTCCTGCTTACAGGGCTCATAGACCGAGTGGGCTTAAGGTCATCGTCTCTCCCAGGCCTTTATTTTTCCAACCAGCATTTCTTCCCTTCCTGGTCTCCTCACTCCTAAACCAGGTGCAGAGTTCAAGATTCTTCCCTATGCCCTTACAGCTGGCAATAAGGAACAAAAAGAAGCTATAAAAATGTACCCTTTGCATCCTTGATGCCTTTTCCCTTTCATTTAGACCTCCTGAAGAACAGGGGTGCTCTCAGATTACTTTGATGGAGTTGGAGGTACCTAAGAAAACTAGCATAACAGAAACCTTATAAAAAACATGGCAATTCTGCTTATTTTATCAGAGGACTGTGTGAAGACTCTGATGGGGAGTGCGGAGTTGAGGCGCCGGGTGGCAGGGTGAGCCTGCCAGAAATGAGGAGGGGCAGCGAGGCCAGCCAGAAGGCCATTTTCCATCACACTGGTCCTGCCGCAGAGGAGGGTGTCCCTGGTGTGAGCTATAAGTTGGAATGAGGAGGGAACTGCTGTAGGTTCCTAGCTGGATGAGAAATGACAGAAAAAGGTTACCTCACCTTGAAGATAATGAACTTAAAGCAGAGATCACTGGATATTTAGATTGACTTTAAAAGCATTTAAACTTCAATGTTAGGGAACCCTAACGGCTTTCCTTGGGAATATGGCAGCGGACCATTCTAGTATAGAGCTTCTTTTGTTATGTTTCTTTTTAAAGCATATAATAGAGTCATAAAATACTACCTTGCATAAGAACAATGTTTCTGACTCCCTCTGAAGAACTCATGCTTTGTTCTTTTTCACGATGGAATCAATGAGGTTCACTTGCCTACCCTCGCCCACCCCTCTTCCTAATCATAGCAAACAGGCCTGGAAAAGGCAGGCAAGCCACGAAGACTAAATGCTAACATAGAAAGACTTCCGGGGCACCAATGCCTGGCACCAATGTTACAGATTTGCATTGGTTATTTCTTTGTGACAACCTTGTAAAGTAGATATAATATCTTTATTTTACAGACAAGAAAACTGAGATGTAGAGAGTTTAAGTAACATTGCTAAAGTCATACAGCTGGTAAGTACCAGAACCAGGATTTGAACATGTGTCTCATCTTTGAGCTGGGGCCCCTTCCAGACATCATGCTGCTTCCTATACTGTCCCTGATCAATAAGCGAGAATGTGTGGTCTCGTGCCCATGAGATAGGAAGAGGCTCTGGACTCTGAGTCCTACCCAGGCAAGACCCAACACACTCAAGTCAGGTGGGGATCAGAGAGCCCTCAACTCGGTGAAGGGCATCAGCCTGCCACTCAGCTCATTTGGCTTCTCTTCATAGCGAGGGACAGACATCTCATCCTTTCAGAAAATGTCTCGAGGGAGCAGGCAGACTGCCACCACTGCCACTGCACACTCTCCTCTCTCTACAGTCGCTTATGCTCCCAACAGCTGCATGACTGCTTTTAGGCCAGCTGCTGAAAAAAAGAGTCATTCATGTCAGCACGGTTCATCTTGTTCAGTCTCCAAAACGTAAATTCCTGGCACTAAACTGACTGAACCT